CTGCAATGGATCAGAGAATACCTGACAGGGAGGCAACAACGAGTCATGGTACGTAATGATGTATCACAGTGGGCACCTGTGACGAGCAGGGTCCCACAGGGGTCGGTCCTAGGACCAGTGCTATTTTTGGTATATGTGAACGACATGACGGAAGGGTTAGACTCAGAAGTGTCCCTGTTTGCAGATGATGTGAAGTTAATGAGGAGAATTAAATCTGATGAGGACCAGGCAGGACTTCAAAGAGACCTGGACAGACTGGACACCTGGTGAAGCAAATGGCTTCTCGAATTTAATCCTGCCAAATGCAAAGTCATGAAGATAGGGGAAGGGCACAGAAGACCACAGACAGAGTATAGGCTAGGTGGCCAAAGACTGCAAACCTCACTCAAGGAGAAAGATCTTGGGGTGAGTATAACACCGAGCATGTCTCCGGAAGCACACATCAATCAGATAACTGCTGCAGCATATGGGCGCCTGGCAAACCTGAGAACAGCATTCCGACACCTTAGTAAGGAATCATTCAAGACACTGTACACCGTGTATGTCAGGCCCATACTGGAGTATGCAGCACCTGTTTGGAACCCGCACTTGATAAAGCACGTCAAGAAACTAGAGAAAGTACAAAGGTTTGCAACAAGGTTAGTTCCAGAGCTAAGGGGAATGTCCTATGAAGAAAGATTAAGGGAAATCGGCCTGACGACACTGGAGGACAGGAGGGTCAGGGGAGACATGATAACGACATATAAAATACTGTGTGGAATAGACAAGGTGGACAAGGACAGGATGTTCCAGGGAGGGGACACAGAAACAAGAGGCCACAATTGGAAGTTGAAGACACAAATGAGTCAGAGAGATAGTAGGAAGTATTTCTTCAGTCATAGAGTTGTAAGGCAGTGGAATAGCCTAGAAAATGACGTAGTGGAGGCAGGAACCATACACAGTTTTAAGACGAGGTTTGATAAAGCTCATGGAGCGGGGAGAGAGAGGGTCTAGTAGCAACCGGTGAAGAGGCGGGGCCAGGAGCTAGGACTCGACCCCTGCAACCACAAATAGGTGAGTACAAATAGGTGAGTACACACACACACACACACACCAGTGAAGAGGAGGGGCCAGGAGCTATGAATCGACCCCTACAACCACGATTAGGTGAGTACATACATACACACACACACACACCACACACACACACACACACAATCAATCACAAGGAGATTGACTGGGAAAGCCTGGAACCACATAGGGGTCCCGAAACATAGAGAGCCAAGATGATGGATGTGTACTGGAAAACCTCATGTATCACCATGTTAGGGGAACTACCAGAGAGGGGAGGATGAACCAACAAGACTGGACCTCGTGTTCACCCTAAGTAGCTCAGACATTGAGGACATCACATAGGAAAGGCCCCTTGGCGCTAGTGATCGCGTGGTTCTGAGCTTTCCCACTGAACCTTCATGCAGGAGGTTCAGTGGGAAAGAGAATTGGTAGGAAAGTCAGTAAACGAAATGATGGACTACGTAACAACAAAATGCAAGGAGGCATAGGAAAAGTTTGATCCCAAGGGCAACAGGAATAATGGGAAGACCAGAAGGAGCCTCTGGTTTACCCAAAGGTGTAGAGAGGCAAAAACTAAGTGCACTAGAAAATGGAAAAGTACAGAAGACAAATGACCCAGGAAAATAAAGAGATTAGTCAAAGAGCCAGAAACGACTATGCACAGATGAGAGAGGCCCAGCAACAGTACGAAAACGACATAGCATAAAAATTCAAGTCTGACCCTAAGCTGTTGTATAGCCACATCAAGAGGAAGACAACAGTCAAGGACCAGGTAATCAGGCTGAGAAAAGACGGTGAGGAGCTCACAAGAAACTACAAAGAAGTATGTGAGGAGCTTAGCATGAGATTTAAAGAAGTATTTGCAGTGGAGACAGAAAGGATTCTGGGAAGTTAGAACAGAGGGGTACACCAACAAGGGATATACCAGCAAGTGTTGGACGAAATACACACAACCGAGGAGGAGAAGCTGCTAAGTGATCTTGATACCTCAAAGGCGGTGGGACCGGACATCTCTCCGCGGGTCTTTAGAGAGGGAGCAGAGATGCTGCGTGTGCCACTAACAATAATTTTCAACACATCCATTGAAACTGGGCAAACACCTGAGGTATGGAAGACAGCAAATGTTCCCATTTTTAAGAAAGGAGACAGACACGAGTCATTAAACTATAGACCAGTGTCACTGACGTGTATAGTATGCAAAGTCAGGGAGAAGATTAACAGGAGAGTGGTGGAGCACCTAGAACAGAACAAGCTCATGAACGATAACCAACACGGACTCAAGGAAGGCAAATCCTGTGTCACAAACCTACTGGAGTTTTATGATAAGGTAATGGAAGCAAGACACGAGAGAGAGGGGTGGGTAGATTGCATTTTCTTGGACTGCAAGAAGGCTTTCGACACAGTTCCTCACAAGAGATTAGTGCAAAAGCTAGAGGATCAGGCAGGTATAACAGGAATGGCACTGCAATGGATCAGAGAATACCTGACAAGAGGCAACAACAAATCATGGTACATACGTGACGAGGTATCAGAGTTGGCGCCTGTGACGAGCGGGGTTCCAGGACCAGTGCTATTTTTGGTATATGTGAATGACATGACAGAAGGGATAGACTCTGAAGTGCCCCTGTTTGTAGATGATGTGAAGTTAATGAGGAGAATTAAATCGGATGAAGATCAGGCAGGACTACAAAGAGACCTGGACAAGCTGGAAGGTTGGTCCAGCAAGTGGCTCCTCGAATTTAACCACGCCAAATGCAAAGTCATGAAGATTGGGGAAGGGCAAAGAAGACCGCAGACAGAGTATAGGCTAGGTGGCCAAAGACTACAAACCTCACTCAAGGAAAAGGATCTTGGGGTGAGTATAATACCGAGCTCATCTCCTGAGGCGCACATCAAACAGATAACTGCTGCAGCATATGGACGCAGGGCAAACCTGAGAATAGCGTTTCGATACCTCAGTAAGGAATCGTTCAAGACTCTGTACACCGTGTACGTCAGGCCCATACTGAAGTATGCAGCACCAGTTTGGAACCCACACCTGGTCAAGCATGTCAGGAAATTAGAGAAAGTGCAAAGGTTTACAACAAGACTAGTTCCAGAGCTAAGGGGAATGCCCTAGGAAGAAAGGTTGAGGGAAATCAGCCTGACGACACTGGAGGACAGGAAGGTTAGGGGGAGACATGATAACGACATACAAAATACTGAGAGGAATTGACAAGGTAGACAGAGACATGATGTTCCAGAGATAGGATACAGAAACAAGAGGTCACAATTAGAAGCTGAAGACTCATATGAGTCAAAGATATGTTAGGAAGTATTTCTTTAGTCATAGGGTTGTCAGGAAGTGGAATAATCTGGTAAGTGGTGTAGCGGAGAGAGAGGACCTAGTAGCGATCAGTGAAGAGGCGGGGCCAGGAGTTGTGACTCGACTCCTGCAACCACAGGTAGGTGAGTACCAACACACACACACACACACACAGGAGAGTGGTGGAGAACCTGGAGCGGAACAAGATTTTAAACGACAGCCAGCACGGATTCATGGAAGGCAAATCCTGTGTCACAAATCTACTAGAGTTTTATTACAAGGTAACTGAAGTAAGAAATAAGAGGGAGGGGTGAGTTGATTGCATTTTCTTGGACTGCAAGAAGGCCTTCGACACAGTTCCACACAAGAGATTAGTACAAACCGTGAGGAACAGGCACGTATAACAGGAAGGGCACTGCAATGAATCAGAGAATACCTAACAGGGAGGCAACAGCGAGTCATGGTCTCGTGATTCGGTATCACAGTGGCGCCGTGGCGAGCGGGGTCCCTCACAGGGTCAGTCCTGTTACCAGGGCTATTTCTTGGTATATGTAACGATAATGACTGAGGGATAGACCTCAGAGTTCCCTTTTTTGCAGATAATGTGAAAGTTAATAAGGAGAATTAAATCATATGAGGACCAGACAGGTATACAAAGATACCTGGACAGGCTGGATGCATTGGTCCTGCCACTGGCTCCTAGAAATTAACCCCGCCCAATGCAAAGTCATGAAGGATCGGGGAGTGCAAAGTAAGACCCGCAGACAGTATAGGCTAGGAAGGCCAAAGACTACAAACCTCACTCAAGGAGAAATATCTAGTGAGTGGGTATAATACCTCGTACATCACCAGAGCACACATGAACCCAGATAACTGCTGCGGCTTTACGGGCGTCTGGCAAACCTGAGAATATAGCGTTCCCGGTAAACCTCAGTAAGGAATCGTTTCAAGACTTTATACACTGTGTACGTCAGTGCCATACTGGAGTACCAGTCACGAGTCTGGAACCCACACCTGGCAACACGTCAAGAAATTAGAGAAAAATGAAAAGATTTGCAACAAGGCTAGTTCTGAGCTAAGGGAAATGTCCTATGAAGAAAGGTTAAGGGAAATAGGTCCTGACTAAACTGGAGGACAGGAGGGTAAGGGGAGACATATGACGACATATAAAATACTGCGTGAACTGCAGTGGACAGAGACAGGATGTTCTCCAGAAATGGGAACCACCCCCAGAAACAAGGGGTCACAATTGGGAAGCTAATACTCAGAAGAGCAAAGGATGTTAGAAGTATTCTTCAGCCACAGAGTTAGTTATAAGTGGGAATAGTCTGGCAACGATGTATGTGAGGGCAGGAAACACATACATAGTTTTAGATGAAGCTCATGGACAGGGAGTTGGAGTACCAGTAGCGGTCAGAGAAGAGGCTGGCCATGAGCTGAGTCCTCGACCACCCTGCAACCACAATTAGGTGAAGCACACACCACACACCACACACACCACACACTACACACACACACACACACAACACACACACACACACGGAAAAACTATTTTAAACTCATAGTAGAAAGTGTAAATATTACATGGAAAATATTTGTATAATTGTTTAAACAATAAATAATATAATACTAGTATATGTACCTTTTAGTTCGTGCGTTAGTTCTTCATATCTAGTGTTCGACTGCGTGTGTTGCACACAAGAATCATTGTTTCCCCATCCTATCTCTGCTACAGTCGAGGTCGATCCTATCTTTGTGGTTCAGGCGAGGCTATACTATTCATGTCTCTACTGCAAGAGAGGCTGCTCCAGGCGAGGCTGTTGGTGCTCCAGGCGAGGGGATTGCTGCTCCAGGCGAGGGGATTGCTGCTCCAGGCGAGGCTGTTGGTGCTCCAGGCGAGGCTGTTGGTGCTCCAGGCGAGGGAATTGCTGCTCCAGGCGAGGGTATTGCTGCTCCAGGCCAGGCTGTTGCTGCTTCAGGCGAAGCTGTTGCTGCTTCAGGCGAAGCTGCTGCTGTTCCAGGCGAGGTTATATTCGTCGCACAGATATTTTCGAAACCTGTAACACTAAGCACCAACATAATTCCCATACAGTGCCAAACCATGACTGCTTTCTACGTAGCACCGGGAAGTATCAGTATACGATAGTACGTTATAGTGGTTTCTGTGGTGTGGAGACTCACTGGCTCTTGGAAGAGCTGCAGACTGGTGGTGTGGGTAAGGATAAACCAATCACCGGCCCACTCACACTAGAGAAGTAAGGTTGCCAAGAGTTCAGGTTGATGCTTCTTTTGCTCAGCCATGCAGGCCACTAGAGATTTCATAGACTGTGTTGCTGGAATTATCACTCGGATTAGGGAATAACCACCTCAAATTTATTCAAGGCTGAAGGACGCATCACCTCATATTCACCTCTCCATTACCTCTACTGTTATATAAACCACTTCTGTAATCGATTAAAGAAGCCTGCTGAGTAGGTGAAACATTTTGATAATAAAAATACCCAACTGTTGCACATGTGTCTGTCTCATCTCTTCTAGTTATAACTTACATGTAAAAGCAAAAGTTTCAATGACTCTTTAAGTACCGTTCTTAATTGTTCCCAAAAATATGGACTTTGGGGCCTATATGACTTTGAGGGGAATGAGAACAGATGTACCAATACAGTTTCTGGGGCTGTGGGATGAGACAGTTAGCTTACAGCTGTTAAGCAAAAGGACACAAGTGCAACTAATGTGACATTTTATTGTGGCCACAGTAAAATGTCACATTAGTTGCACTTGTTTCCTTTTACCTAACATATTGTCGGTAATTCTACTAACATTATTACAGCTGGTGGCACTGATATAGACAAGGCATGTACGACTTGTTTCCTTTCCACCCCGAAAGAAAAAAGCATCAGAAAATCATTTTGTACCTTATCTGCTCAAGGTAGGGTTTTGGGTTACTGGCAAGTGGTCGCTTCAGTGCTGCGGTACCAGTAAACTATCCTCCTTACAAAACTGTTACCCAAATTAGAGTGATTAGTACCTATCTTAAATTCTAGTAAGCAAACCAGCTTCAGTAGTTGTAAATAATTAAAAAAAAAATATTGTTTTGGTGGCGGTTAATGGTGCCGGTGAGAGGATACACAAGGTCCCACTTCCAGCTACACTGTATTCACAATCAGACCTCACAGTTCAGATGACCCTCAAATCTGTAACATCCACACTCCTCCTTCAGAGTGCAGGCTCTATACTATCCACGTCAAGGACAGTAACCACTTTCCCCAATCCCTTCATAAAGGTTACCGTGCTCACACTCTAACAGCACGTCGAATCATAGAAAAAACTTGCCTCCATTCCTCTCAAACACTGACATAAGCCTATTGGAAATCCAAGTACCTCATGCACAAAGGACCTATTCTCCTCCCTCCGACCTTTCCTAGGACGACCCTAACCCCTCTCATCTCCACCCCAGATTTATACACCCCCCATTTTGCTCCATGCTCTCTAAATGTCCAAACCTTCTAAACAACTCTTCTCAGCCCTCTGAATGTTACTTCTGGTAACCCCAAACATCCCAATCGCCAAGCTGCGAATTCTCTCATATTATTCACAACCACAGAATGCCTTCAGATACGTACCTCACTGCCTTCGGTTTCCCCTCCTCGGCGCATTGTGTGTGTGTGTGGTGTGTGTGTACTTCACCTAAATTGTGGTTGCAGGTGTCGAGTCCTAGCTCCTGGGCCCCTGCCCCGTGTGTGTGTGTTTGTGGTGTGTGTGAGTGTGTGTGTACTCACCTATTATGTACTCATCTATTTGTGGTTGCAGGGGTCGAGTCACAGCTCCTGGCCCCGCCTCTTCGCTGATTGCTACTAGGTCCTCTCTCTCCCTGCCCAAGACTCTATCATACCTCGCCTTACAAACTATGTTATGGTTCCCGCCTCCACTACGTCACTTTATAGGCTATTCCCACGGTCTGACACTCTTGACTGAAGAAATACTTGGTTTTTTTCCTAACATCCCTTTGATTCATCTGAGTCTTCAAACTTCCAATTGTGACCTCTTGTGTCTGTGTCCCATCTCTGAACATCCCGTACTTTGTCCACCTTGACATTCCGATGCAGTATATTATATGTCGTTATCATGTCTCTCCCTGACCCTCCTATCCTCCAGTGTCGTCAGGGGCCGATTTCCCTCAACCTTTTCTTCGTAGGACAATCCCCGTAGCTCTTGTTGCAAACCCTTAGCACTTTCACTAATTTCTTGACGGCTTTGACTAGGTGTGGGATTTCAAAACTGGTGCTGCATTACTCCAGTAAGTGGGGCTGACGTAATGTATACAGAGTCTTAAACGGATCTTACTGAGGGTATCGTAACTCTATCCGTAGGTTTGCCAGGCGTCCCGAATGCTGCAGCAGTTATCTGATAGATGTGCGCCTCAGGAGATATGCATCGGTGTTTATATCACCCCAGATAGCTGGTGGAATTGTATGAGGTTTGCAGTCCTTGGCCATCTAAACTATATTGGTCCTGCGGTCTTCTTTGCCTTCCCCAATCTTCATGACTTTGCATTTGGCAGGGTTAAATTCAAGGAGCCAGTTGCTGGACCATGCTTGTAGCCTGTCCAGGTCTCTTTGTAGTCCTGCCTGGATCCTCATCCGATTTGATTCTTTCTCATTACTTCGCACATCTGCAAACAAGGAGACACTTCTGAATCAATCCCTTCGTTATTCGTTCACATAATACCAAAACAGCACAGGTCCTAGGACTGACCCTGTGGAACCCCACTTGTCACAGGCGCCCATTCTGACACCTCGTCGCGTACCATGACTCGTTGTGCCTCCCTGTCAGATATTCTCTGATCCATTTCAGTGCCTTTCCTGTTATGTGTGCCTGATCCTCTAGCTTTTGCATAACCTCTTTGAGGAACTGTGTCGAAGCCTTCATGCAGTCCAAAATATGCAGTCATCCACCCCTCTCTCTCCTTGTCTACTTCTGTCACCTTGTCATAAAACTTCTATAGGTTTGGTGACACAGGATTTTCCTTCCCTGAAACCGTGCTGGTTGTCAATTATACACTTGTTTCTTTCCAGTGCCCCACCACCTCCACAATGATCTCTCATGACCTTGCTACTTATACACAGTTAGTGAATACAGGTCTGTATTTTAGTGCCTCATGTCTGTCTCCCATTTTTAAAAAATGGGGACTACATTGGCCATTTTCCATACCTCAAGGAGTGCCCATTTTCAAATGATGTGTTGCAAGATCGTTGTTAAATGGCTCCACCAATATCTCTGCTCACCCTTAAGGACCCATGGAGAGATGTTGTCTGGGTCCCACCGCCTTTGAGGTGCCAAGTTCGAATAGCAACTACTTCACCTCCTCCTTGGTTATATGTACCTCTCATCTCAAGCACTTGCTGGTTGCCCCCCTGTTCTGATTTCCTGGAGTCCTACTCGGTTTCCACTGTAAATACCTCTTTAAATCTTGTGTTGAGCTCCTGACTACCTCTTGATCGTTTCTGTGAATTCCCCATCACTCCTTCCACAGCTGGATTACCTAGTCCTTGACTTTGATTTCCTCGATGATGTGGCTGTACAACAGCTTCCGGGTCAGTCTTTACTCTTGATGCTATGTCATTTTCATATTGTCTCTGAGCCGTCCCTTCTTATCTGTGCATATTCGTTCTGGCTCTTCGCTGAATTCTTCATTTTCTGAAGTTTCTCTGTCTTCTGTACCTTTTCCATTCTCTATTACACCTAGTTTTTGCCTCCCTATTCACCTTTGGGTGAACCAAGGACTCGTTCTGTTCTTTACATTATTCTGTTTCCCTTGGAACAAAACCTCTCCTCTGCCTCCTTGCATTTTTGTTGCTACATAGTCCATCATTTCTTGTAGCAGGTTTTTCCTGTCAGTTTTCCCTCTCCCACAAGAATGTCTGTGAAGGAAAGTTCCTCATGCCCTGAGTAGTCCCCACCTTTTGTAGTTGGTTTTACCCAGCCTAGTCCTGCTACTCTCTCACTTGGAAGCTCACCTATGTAGTCGAAGCACAGAACCAGGGGCCTTCATACATGAACTCCTCCGATGTCCGAACTACTCATGGTGAATACAAGGTCCACCTTGCTGGTTCATCCTCTCCCCTCTCTGGTAGTGGTCCTCAAACATTTTGATGCATGAGGTTTTTCCAATACCACATCCCATCATTCTTGTGGCTCTCCCGTTTCGGGACCCCCAATGGGCTCCAGTTTCCCAGTCAATCTCCTTGTGATTGAAATCACCCAATAACTATAACTTGGCTCCCCCCCCAATGTGTGCTCCCCTGCCACCTCGGCTATTGGGTCGATCATTGCTCTGTTTGCTCTCATCATATATTCTCTTGGCTTCCTGCAGTTGCTGTGTGGGTTTACATTATGCAATTACACCTTATGACCATCAGACTGAAATGTTCCTACTAAAGTAGTCCTTTCGCCCGTCCATCCATTCTTCCATTTTCCTCCACATCCCCACTGGTTGTTTTAATGAGCATGCAACTCCTCTTCTCCCCCTCATACTCCCTCTGTCTTTCCTGAGGATTTGGTAATCCCGGATTGGAAAGGTGAATCTGTAATATTCTGGAGAGTTTTATTTTCTGTGATGCTATTAAAATTTCTGGGGATGTCCTTTGATTTCTTCGTCCACACCTCATACTTGTTTGTTATATCCATCTGCATTTGTATACCACACCTTCAACTTCATTCCCCCCCCCCAAAGACTGGGTCTGGGAGGTATATTGGGG